TCTGCAGTTTAATCAATACAGCACCCTCTTATCCTTTGTTCTGAATAAGGCAATGTCTAGTATCTCCCTTGGAAGGCTTTAATTCTCCTGTCCCCATTGTCAAAGTATCCTGGAGGTTTACTCAAGCCAAAAAAAAAAAAAAAAAAAAAAGGAACAGTTCTACTTCCAGGAATCAGGAACAAGACAGTTATGAAGTCTCTGCTCAAGTGCATGGCTAGAATTGTGTTTCTATGCCATGTGTTATAGTGGTCTCCCCTGTTAGTGGAGAATGTGTTCCAAGACCACCCAGTGGATACCTGAAAGCTCCAATGGTACTGGACACTATGCATACAATTTTGAAAAAAATTCTTTGTAGTTATAGATGGAAATAATGCCTTTATTTTGTTTATTTTTAATATATTTTTTTAGTTTTAAGTGGACACAATACCTTTATTTTATTGATTTATTTTTATGCGGTGCTGAGGATCAAATCCAGTGCCTCACACATGCTAGGCAAGTGCTCTGCCACTGAGCCACAACCCCAGCCCACATACAATTTTTATACATACCTATGATAATGTTTAACTTATGTATCAGATACAGTAAGAGGTTATTAACAATTATAATAATAAAATGGAATAGTCACAACAATATGACGATTTCATGGGTGGAAGATTCTTTCTTACTAGATATCTTAGCAAACTCAGCTTATTCACTTTTTTTCTTCCTTAGTTGAGAACTTTTACCTTTTTTACTTAAAGAAAGCATTTAGGGCTGAGGCTGTGGCTCAGTGGTAAAGCATTTGCCTAGCATGTGTGAGGCACTGGGTTCGATTCTCAGCACCACATAAAAATAAATAAATAAAGTAAGTAAGTAAGTAAGTAAGTAAAGCTATTGTGTCCATTCTTAAAATAAATAAGTCCTTATTTTGGGGCTGGAGATGTGGCTCAGCGGTAGCGCGCTCGCCTGGCATGCATGCGGCCCGGGTTCGATCCTCAGCACCACATACCAACAAAGATGTTGTGTCCGCCGAGAACTAAAAAATAAATATTAAAAATTCTCTCTCTCCTCTCTCACTCTCTCTTTAAAAGAAAAAAAAGAATTCTAACTTCTTTATTAAAAAAAATAAGTCCTTATTTAAAAAAAAACTATGAATTGCTTATTTCTGAATTTTTTAATTTAATATTTTTGGACCATGTTTGATCACATGTAAACAAAACCACAGAAAGTGAAACCATGGATTGGGAGTGAGGGGACAATAGCTATTTATAAGTGTATGTGGGGGAATGGTTCCAGGACCCTTGTGGATACTAAAATCCATGGATGTTCAAGTTCCTTATATAAAATGGTATAGTATTTGCATATAACCTACATTTAACCTCGATGATCTATAATACCTAATTTAATGTAGGTGCTATGCAAACAGTTGTTATACTGAATTGTTTTAGGAATAATGCAAGAAAAAAATCTGTATTTATTCAGTATGGACACAATTTTTTTTTCCTGAATATTTGTGATAAGCAGTTGGGTGAATCCAAGAATATGGAATGCAGAGGACTGACTGCACCCTATTGCTGTTAAAGACAGGTCTAGCCTGGTCTCAATGGATAAATGCCTTYTCTGATTAATTTCTGGTCCAAGTCCCTGCATAAGCATAAATGATGCCCCACACTTAGATTCTAAAGTTATGGATATCAGTTCATATTCATATAATAGCTTTCTATTGCCTAGAATATTTGACCAGCATGGATAGATATGAGGGCTGGATATGAGGGCTTTAATTCTTCATTACTTGCTGTGCAAGAACCAGTCCTCTTCAGACTAACATTTGTTAAACTTTGGTAAGCAGCCTAGATGCCCTTCTTTCTTTCTAGYGAATTTCTTTGTGGACTTCCCTGACAGTTGACCCATATCCCATTCTACCAAATTTTCTTAACTTCAGACTTTGGAGAGTAGGCAACAAGAAATTTTTGGCTGAGAGAGATTATGGGATTCACCCAAGGAAAACTGGTTCTCCTCTACCACAGAATTCTATCTACTTCAAAAGAGCAGCAAATTTTACAAAACCTCATACATTAAAAACATCTTGTTATAATCTTCTCCTAAGACAATCAGTTCCTGTTTGTGTAACTAAAGCAACCATTTGAGTCTGTTACTTGCAGGTGAGCTTCTACTTTTAGATGGGCCCTACAAAGCATGATATTATGATACATTACAAAATTATGGCCTACTGTCCCATCCCAAAGACTTTAATTATAATTTTTTTCGGTACTGGGATTGAACCCAGGGGCACCTAGACACTGTGCCAAATCCCCCATTTTTTAAAAAATTTGAGCCAGGTTCTCACTAAGTTGCTTAGGGCCTCACTAAGTTCCTGAGGCTGGTCTTGAACTTGTGACCCTCCTGGTGCAGCCTTCTCAAATCGCTGAGATTACAGGCATGTGCCATTGTACCCGGCCTAGGACATTAATGTCTAGACAACTAAAACCAATGTGTTCAACCTGTTTCTGTCTCACTTTAGTAATCATTTCCCTGAAGAGGAACAATGTAAATGGGCTTGTGTTTCATCTCTTTTTTTTTATTATTCTCAACTCACTCTCTATATCCATTGTGGAATGCAAGAGTGAGAAGGCTGAGAAATGGGGAGGTGAGATAATATAAGGTCTGGATCATAAAGTCTGTATAAAATATTTCAAATCTCTTGTAAGCGGGTGTCCCAGGTTTTATCACACTTCAGCTCAGAGGTGTTTCTGTGGTTGTGGAGCTTGCCTCGTACGGATTCTTCACCAACTTGGCACACCGAAAWATCATCACTATCAGAAATAGAAACAGAAGGACAACAAACGCAATGGCAAAGCCTTTGTCCACGTCGACACTGCTAGACGGGCTTGCGTCTTCCATGGTGACACACCTCTGCCCTGTTAGCCAGCAGCAGTTACCTCCTCAGGTACGACTCCAGGTTTGTCATATTCCTAGAAAAAAAAAAAAGGATAAAACAAGTTGTTAGTTTTTTTTTTTTTTTTTTTTTTTGTGTGTGTGTGTGTGGAGCCTGGTGCTGTGGCATGTTTTTAATCCCAGGGACTTGGGAGGCTGAGGAAAGAGGATTGAAAGTATTATAAATAATAATAATACCAAAATGGGGTCAAGGGTTGCAAAAAATCATGAAGATCTATTTTAAAAGCATCAAGTTACAGTGACACATTCCTATAATTCCAGCAACTTGGAGGATTGCAAATTTGAGGCCAGCCTGTGCAACTCAGTGAGACCCTGTCTCAAAATAAAAATAAAAAGGGCTGGGAATGTAGCTCAATGGAGAGTATCGCTAGGTTCAATTCCCAGTTACCTGCCCTCCAGAAAAAGACTTATTTTAGAAGCACTTATGATGGCGCTGGGGTTGTGGCTCAGTGATAGAGTGCATTCCTAGCATGCGTGAGGCACTGGGTTCGAGCCTCAGCACCTCATAAAAGTAAAATAAAGGTATTGTGTCCACCTACAACTAAAAAATAAATATCTTAAAAAAAGAAGCACTTATGAAATTGCTAAAGTTAATAATATATATTCCATAAGGCCAATAATGACTATTCCTATTTGCTCTGCCAATCTGTTTCTTTGTTTTTTTTTTCCCCCCCGCAGTTCTGGGGGGTTGAACCCAGGGCCTTGTGCATGTTAAACTGTGGTGCAAGGGCTCCACCACTGAGCTATACACATCCTAGGCCCCGGCCCATTCTTTATGGGCACTGTGGTGGGGTGAAGGGTGAGAGTTGGTGCACATATGGTTGACTAGACCTCCTCTTTATAAGATGTGAGAGAGATTATTTTTTTWWAAAAAAAGGTGGGGAAGACAAGAAACAGCAATAAGAACATCAAAAAAGATGTGTGAGAGTTCTGGTTCCTATTGTTGCGACTCTTGAGAATATACCCGATACTTACTGACCCTTGTCCTCACCTTGGGACTTGACCACAACTCTGTAGTAACAAGGAAGTTGCATTCAACCCCTTTTACCTTGGGTTCTCATGGCCACCAGCTGAGCTCCTGCGCTGATGGAATGAATAGACATTGTAAATTTCTGATAAACGGATTAATTAAAAAAAATAAAAGATGCTATTTTGTTAACCAGATTTTCTTAAAAAACAACAACAAAAACATATGGGATGAAAGAACAGATGTAAAAGGTTATTAAAATGGGTCTTCGTCCCAATTATGATTATGGTACAAAATTGAACAATACGTAGGTAGTATTGCATGCTTCAAAKAGAAACCTCCTAACCAGGCATTGCAAAAAGCAAGTGGCTAAAGACCATTTTTTTATATCCTCAGCTTAATATTCTGCTTGAGGGTGTAAAAAAGGATTGAAAATGAAGAGGCAGCAAATTTATTTATTTGGAGAAAACTGTTGAAATGTTGGTATTTTCCACCTGTTCTTACCGCATTTATGAATCTTTCAGCACGTTATGTATTAGCATACTTATCAAGTCAGAGCTGTGAAAGCTACACTCAGAAATGTCACTCCTCCTCCATCATCCTTTTATTTCATTCCACCCAAGTATTATCCTTTCTACCCCATTCCTATTATCTTCATCCTGTAGGTAATAAATCTCCTCTATTTCTGGTTCATACTTCCTGTGTTCTTTTCACAAGTAAATCATTTTTCATTTCTCCTTTTTTTCTTACACCAAAGATAGCATCTCATAGATAGACATTCTTGCATTTTTTTTTCACTTAATAATACATCCTGGCTCAGCAACTTAGCAAAATCCTGTTTCAAAAATTTAAAATTAAGTAAAAAAGAGCTGGAGATGGAGTTCAGTGGTAAAGTGCCCTTGGGTTCAATCCCCAGTACCAGAAAAAAGATTCTGGGACTCCCTTCTAATCTGAAATGATGTTTATAGGTAACTTCTGCATTATTATTATTATTATCATCATCATTATTTTATATTATTACTATCATTATCATTATTATTTTGTGGTACTAGGGATTGAACCCAGGGGCACTCTACCACTGAATTATATTCCCAGTCTGTTTTATTTTTTATTTTGAGGCAGAGACTCACTAAATTTTTTAGGACCTCACTAAGTTGCTGAGACTGGCCTTGAATTTGTGATTCTCTTGCCTCAGGCTCCTGAGTTGCTGAGATTATAGGCATGTGATATCAAGCCCAATTTGCATTATTTTTCATTTTTACAACTGTGGAGTATTCTTTCCTGTGGATAACCACTCTTATACACATTTAATTATTTCCAATATTTTTGCAGCTATTAATAACTACTAATGCCAGGCAGAGTGGCACACACCTGTAATCCCAGCAATTTGGGAGGCCGAGGCAGGAGGATTGTGAGTTTGAGATCAGCTTCAGCAAATTAATAAGTCCCTAAACAACTTACTGATATCCTGTCTCGAAATAAAAAATAAAAAGGACTAGGATGTGCTTCAGTGGTTAAGCACCCYTGGGTTCAATCAGTACCATAAATAAGTAAATGAACAAATTAATCTTTAAAAACTATTAGTMATGCTATAGTAATAATGCAGCAATAATACTTGTGTGCAGCTATTTTCATAAAAAAGGTGTATCATCAGGGTAAAACCCCACAAGTGCATTTGTTGAGACAAAAGTTAAATGAATTTGTACTTATAGTAGATAGAGCTAAATTTTCCTCCATAATGATTTTGCATTCCTGTAAACAATTACTGAGCGTGCCTGCTTCCTCACAGCCTTGCCAACAGAATGTGTGGTCTCCAATAATTTATAATCTTTGACAATATAGATAAAGCATTTTATACTGGTATAGTTTTGTCTTTCTTTTATCATGAATTATATTGAAGATCTTTTAATTAAATCTTTAATTTAATTTATATCTCTCTTTTGTAGCAACTTGAAATATAATTAATATATAATGAAATATAATGAAACCATACAATGTACACCCATCAAAAAACCATTGGCATGTACAGCAAAAGTGTACATGCCAATGGTTTTTTAGTGTATTTTCAGAAATGTGCAATCATCACAATATTCCACTTAACTGTCACCCTACATTACCCCTGGCTCTAAACAACCACTAATCGACTTTCTGTTTTACACACATACAGATGCAGACACACACACACACACACACACACACACACACGTATTGTGACTGGCTTTTTTTTTTTTTTTTTGGTACCAGGGATTGAATTCAGGGGCACTCAATCACTGAGCCACATCCCCAGCCCTATTTTGTGTTTTATTTAGAGACAGGGTCTCACTGAGTTGCTTAGTGCCTTGCCATTGCTGAGACTGCTTTGAATTCCAGAACCTCCTGTCTCAGCCTCCCGAGCCACTGGAATTACAGGCGTGCACCACCATGCCCCGCTTGACCGGTGTGACTGGATTTTTTTTGCTTAACAAGATGTTTTTATGATTTATCCAGGTTGTAGCATGTATTGGTACTTGTTTTCTTTATGTGGCTGAATAATATTTCATTGTAGGGATATATACCATATTTTGTTGTTGATTCATCCGTTTATGGACATTTGGGTTGTTTCTAAATTTTGGCTATTATGAATAACATTGCTACAAACATGAAGTTTTGTGTGGCTATGTTTTCATTTATCTTGGGTATATACTTAGGAGTGGAATTATAAGTGGGAATTCTATATTTAATCATCTGAAGAACTACCAGATGATACTTCACACATAGTAGAAGGGCTAGAATTAAAAGTCAGGTAATAAGTGTTGGTGAGGATATGGAGAACTTGGAACCCTCCAACACTGCTGGTTGGAATAAAATGGTGCAGCCACTTTGAAAAACAGTCTGTATAGCTCAGTTGGCAAAGTGCTTGCCTCCCATGCACAAGGCACTGGGTTCAATCCCCAGCACCACAAAAAAAAAAAAAAAAAAAAAAAAAAGGAAAACAGTCTGGTAGCTCCTCAAGTGATTAAGCATAGAGTTATCACTTGCATATGTCTGTCTCTCTCACTCTCTTTCTCTTTTTTTCTTTCTTTTTGAGAACACTGGGATTAAACCCCAGGGGACTCGACCACTGAGCCAAATTCCCAGTCCTATTTTTAAAAAAATTTTTTTAGTTATAGATAGACACAATACCTCCATTTTATTTATTTATTTTTATGTGGGGCTGAGGATTGAACCCAGTGACTTACACATGCTAGGTGAACACTCTACCACTAAGCTACAATCCCAGCCCCCCAGCCCTGTTTTGTATTTTATGTACTGAGTTGCTTAGCGCCTTGCTGTTGCTGAGGCTGACTGTGAACTTGAAATSAGCCTCCCAAGCCACTGGGATTACAGGTATGTGCCACTGTGCCCAATCTCTCTCACTCTCTTTATGTTTTACACCAATAATTAAAAAACCAAATTGCCCAGTGACTTGCAAAATTTTCCTCTTATCCTGTGGATTTTCTTTTAACTTTCTTGACATTGTCCTTTGAATCACAAAAGTGCTTAACTATTTTTTTCTTTGGTTACTTGTACTTTTGGTGTCATATCTAAGAACCCATTGCCAAATCCAAGATCACAATGATTTATCCCTATTTTTCCTCTTAAGAACTTTACAGCTTTGACTCTTATGTTAAGGTCTTTAACCCATTTTGAGTTCATTTTTGCATATGGTGTAAGGTTAAGGCCCAACTTCATTCTTTTACATGTGGATATTCAGTTTTCCTGGTATGATTTGATGAAAAGAATATATTTTTTTGCCATTGAATGTTTTCAAAATTCTGGTTGAAAAATCATATGATCAGAGAAACATATTCATTTCTGGACTTTCAATTCTATTTCATTGATTTATCTATCTACACATGTATATTTTATGCCAATATTACACTGTCTTGATAACTGTGAGCACTCCAACTTCTTATATTTAAGATTATTTGGTTACTCTGGGTCTCTCAAGTTTCCATACAAATTTTATTTTAGTTTGTTAAAATTTTTAAAAATTTTTTGGCTGTACTGGGGATTGAACTCTACTACTGAGCTATACCCCCAGCCCTTTTTATTTTTCATTTTCAGACAGGGGCTAGCTAAATTGCCCAGACTGCCTTGAACCTGGAATCCTCCTGCTTTAGCCTTTCAAGTTGCTGGGATTACAGATGTGCACTATTGTGCCAGGTTCCATGTGAATTTTAGAGCCATCTTGTCAATTTTCACAAGGAAGCCACTGGGATTCTGGTCACAGATTACACTGACAATTTGAAGAGTATTGCCATCTTAATGATACTGTCTTCTGATTCATGAACATGGGGATGACTTTCCATTTCTTTAAATTTTTTCAATCTAACAATATTCTATAGATTTCAGAGAATTTTGCACTTATGTTGGTTATGTTTATTCTTTATTATTTTATTCTTTTTTATGTTATACTATTTATTTATTTTACATTTGTTTTTGTAATACTGGGGATTGAATATTCATGGTAGGCAAGTGCTCTACCACTGAGCTAYACACTGGACCTATTTTATTTTGGGAGGCRTGTGTGTATGTGTGTTACTGGGGATTGGACCTATGTACTCTACCACTGAACTACAGCCACCCCTGCCCCAGCCTTATTTTATTTTTTATTTTGAGATAGGGTCTCGCTAAATTGACCAGGCTGGCCTTAAATGTGAGATCCTCCTACCTCAGTCTTTCAAATCATTGGGATTATAGGCATGTGCTACCTAGGTTAGTTTAAGTGAAATTATTTTGCCAGGCACAGTTGTGCATGCCTGAAATCCAGCTATTTTGGAGGTTGAGGCAGGAGGATCACAAGTTTGAGACCAGTCTGGGYCATTTACTGGGACCCTGTCTCAAAAAGGGGCTGAGAATGTAACTCAGTGATAGAGCACCCCTGGATTCAATCCCCAGTGTTGGATAAAAAAAGGAAAAAAGGGAATTGTTTTCTTTTTTTTAATATTTATTTTTTAGGTGTAGATGGACACAACACAATGCATTTATTTTTATGTGGTGCTGAGAATCAAATCCGGGTCTGCCCGTGCTAGGCGAGTGCTCTAGTGCTGAGCCACAATCCCAGCCCAAGGAATTGTTTTCTTAATATTTTTTT